AGAAGAAGAAGGAGGAAGAGGAGAAAGAGAGAGAGGGGACTGGCGAGGGAGAGGAGGAGAGACCCTCCAAGCTCCCGGTACCTCAGGCGGTGAGAACCGCCGTGCAAGCTCAGTCGCCCGCTGCTGCTCCGCTCGCTGCTGCGCTCCTGCTTCAGCCCCTGCGCTAAGTTTAGCGCATCAACAGTGCACTAGCACTGACCATGCCRTGCCGGTAGAGTTCCGGTAGGCCGATCCCTCAACTGAGGCGGATACCGGTACTTRTACCGGTGGGCAATGGTCTGGCCTCAATGCTGCGAGGCCAGGCCAGACCCTGAACCGTCCAGATGGACGGTTCAGCCTCAATCGGCGGGCGGCAGCTTCAAGAGCGCCGCCAGGCCCAAACGAAGTGTCGTTTGGGCCTACCCGATGGGTGACAGTCCAAGATCAGGCCTTTAGGGCCTGTAACCCCAAAGGTCGGGGCTTTAGGCCCTGGTGTGTCCCTCCGGCCCTAAGTCGGGTCCGGTAGGACCCGTGTGAGTCGAAGATGTAACATGATCACACCTCTCATCGGACATATCTGCCCTGATTAGTATACCCCAGCTCGTAAGAGACCAGTTCTTTCCCTCCCATTACCATTCTCTGCTCCAAGTGTCTCTATGAGGTCACATTCTTCTCTAGTCTCCCACTCCCTCCTCCCTCGGGCTTCCTGAATCTTTACCGTCTGGCTGAACCGCATCGGTAGGCGGCGACCCCTCTTGCTTCTGACCCCAGCCTCCATCACTTCGCCTGTGCTACCGGTCTCTGACTCTTCTCCACCCGTCTTCTCCTCGTTGATCACCCTCTCCCTTCTCCCTTTCTTTCCGTTCATCTTCCATGCTCTCCTCTTTCCACTGTCCCATTCACTGGTTAGCCTCGCTCCCATTTTAGCCAGTATATCAACCCCCTTGTCCTCCATTTCATACATCATGCAGCGCGTTCTCATCTTCTCCCTTTCTGTTACCACCAGGTCTTCCTTTCTGCTAGAAAGCTGTCTCTGACTCTCTGCGTGTCCATCTAGCGAATCGTATAGAGAGTCCATCTGACCGATTCCTCGAAGCTACTAAAGTTACCCCGCGCCAGTCATCACAAAAAGTTGCGCTAATCACTATTACTATCGTACACAAAGAAAGAAGCCCAAAAACCGGTAATGCCTGGTTCACATGATTCAATCCTGTTGCCACAAAAAGCCGAGCCTCTGTGGTCACACAACCTCAAAACGGGCGTTGGAATGAAACTCACCTTTTTGGAAAAACCATAATAGGAAAGGGTTCCACCCCGACTTCTGCAAAATGAAAAAAATAAATAAAGCAAAATATAGTGAAAACGAAATCCGTGCAGTCCGACACAAGGAGCAAAAGCCCAGCCAGGTACATCAGTTCAACCGTCTCAGCTCATGTGCTTGACAAATCCGGGGTACTCGGTGGGAAGATAAACCTCCCATGGACCACTGGACAGCCTAGCAAACCTTGCTATGGCACCCGTACACACACACAGAGAGAGAGAGAGAGAGAGAGAGAGAGAGAGAGAGAGAGAGAGAGAGAGAGAGAGAGAGAGAGAGAGAGAGAGAGAGAGGTTTGCTTTTTTGTTCCTGTTGGCAATTCCATGGATGAGTAAGAAGAGTGAGCTGTCGTGGTAGAGAGAAAGTGGGGGGAAAGAGAGGGAGAGAGTCTGAAGACAACTTGAAGACGTGGAGGCTCTGACAGGACTAGGACCGCAGAAAAGCTCGTGCCAATCAAAACTCTGCAGTATACCGCCATACTTTACTGCTGGCCTACTGGACTGGTTACAGGAGCTGGGTCCTGGGCTTCTCTTATCTACAGCCCCTGGCCAAGGGCATGCCCGGTGTAGCATTCCAAATTTTGTAACCTACTTGCTTATCATTGTTACAAATAAGTTCACATAAGTTCAAATAAGTAGTTACCAGTCCTCAATTTGTCTGGCTTCTTTTAGAAATCAACCTAATCCTGACATCCTTTTGCGATGCACCTTCACAATGATGATAATAAGGCTTTGACAGATTTGAGTTCTGAGTTGATGCTACTGTTTTCTGTCCAGGCTGTTGATGATTGCTGTGGGTTGGGGAACTTAAAGGGCTGATTTCCTCCTGATTTCGTGCTGATTTTCTCGAGGGAATGAATAATAAATGGCCTTTGTTTTTTGAATAATGTAATGACAGGAGGCTCAACTGATGGCAGAGGAGAAGTATAACAGTGTACAAGAGGAGGTAGAAGTGAAGACAAAGAAACTGAAAAAGCTTTTGGCGAAATACCAGTCAGTGAAGTCAGAGGTCCAGGCTGCGAAGACAGAGATTCAGGATATGAATGAGGAGTTCCAACGTGAGCGGGAGGACCTGCTCGACTCCATTCGGGCATTGGATCAGCAGTTGAAGCTGAAGAATCTAATTATCGAGGTCCGTTTGCCTCTCGTGGCTATCATGTACGACTCTCCCTTCTGCCTGTTTTGGTCAACTTTCTTCCTAATGCTTTTAGGAATTTCTAAGTTGAAACATTTGCATGGATGAATGATGGTGTTAAGAGATGTTATAAGGATGTGTGTATTGGAAGAGCACTCCAGTGGACAATCGTTGAGAACAGAGCAGAAAGTTTCTTGATCTGACTCCAGCAAGGACACTGTGCAGTGTGCCTGACACATCCTGCAACCTTTTTTTTCTGAATTCTATCTAATTTGGCACTCCTACTTGAAATAAGGAAATGACCATCCGCCCAGTTTTCTACTTTCTATTCTTCACTTCTTCTTGTTATGTCGCTGCAAACACATTTTAAGATCGAATTCTTTTTTTTAGCTTAAATTCCAATTGTTATGTCACTCCCCAGTTTTTAGTCTTCCATTATTTTCAGTATGTTGTTGGATGTCAAGAAGGTGATGCAGACGTCCTGTCATGTTCTGCATACTCCCTGAAACCCGTCGGAGAGTATTTACTGTCAACCTCGGCATGTATCTCGGACAGTGTGTAATGAACCCAGTCTCGTTGAGAAGCAAATTAGTAATGAAACAGAAGTCTGAACCCAGTGCACCTTGTGAAGTCCAAATATCACATCCATGTCTCGATCATATGCACAATTGAAGAGTATCGTCACATCACAGGCTGCAATAATTTCAGGTGCAACAGGTAGAAGTTCCTTTTTACTAAACCGTCTAGCCTCAGATGCAGGGTGGCTTTCAAACTTCACCTTGAACTGTTTCTGTGGTCGTCCTCTGCCACCAGCTGAGAAGAACCCATGTTCCAATATCTTTTCAGAAGGCAGAAACATGGATGGTCTTCCACATAAGGTAGCAGTGTAGAGGCGTGAAAGACAGGGTAGGTCTTTAGGTGTGGGGGTACCTCAATGCGGTAAGATGGTCCATTTGTATCCCCAATCACTTCGAGAACTTCCGAGGGGCTGTAGTAGACTGGTAGCAGTTTCTGGGATATTCCTCCTTCAAGAGAGAATTTGTTAGATTTTACCCATACCAAGTCCCCTTCTTTGAACTTAGCTGGACTACGGTGTTTGCTAGCTTGTTTAATCATTTGGGCTTGGGCTTTCTGTATTTTCACCTTGACCTTTGCAATATCATTTTTCATATAAAACCATGAACTCTCTTGTTCCTGGGGGTAGCTGCTGGACTTGGTCCCTCGTCAATGCATCAATAGGGTGTTTCAGCTTCCAACCTTTGTGCAATGCATTAGGTGTTCTAGCTGTGACAGTGTGTACACTGTTATTATATGCACTTGCAATCTTAGGTAAGTTCTCGTCACAATCAATTTGATCCGGTCTCACATACATTCGCAAAACTTGTTTGTACAGTCGATTCATTTGCTCAGTTGGTCCATTTGTTTCACGATGTCTACCTGACGACATGGTTAACCTAGTGCCATAGACTTCCATTAACTTTTGCCATTGTTGTCCAATGAACCGTTCATCCCGATCATATACCATGGTTTTTGGAAATCCATCTTCTGAAATCCGGCACTTCTGGAACTTCTAGATTACGAGTTCTGTTTTGCTTCAGAGGGTAAAGGACTGAACATAACATACTTGGAAAACCTATTGACGATAACCATTACCTGACTGTTCCCATTCCGACTCTTGGTGAGGCTCATGAAGTCAATGGATATAGACTCACCTGGTTCGTTTGGAATAGGAAGCGGTTTGAGCAGCCCCAATGGATTCTCATGAGACGACTTGTTTCTCTAACAGACGAGACAAGTTCTCAAATAGGTCAGTACATTTTTTTTCACTCCTTGCCATTCAAATAGCTCGCGGACATTGGCAAACATCTTTTTAAAGCCAGAGTGTCCCTTTGTGTCATGACATTCACCCAAAATTAAACTTTTTACTTCTGCATTATGGAGTACACAAATTATATCTTCAGCTTGATCTTTGAAGAAGAGAATGTTATTACTCTAGCGGTAGTAAGGAAAGAGCTAAGGGTTTTTCTGGACGGTTTGAATGATAGGACTCAAAATAGGATCCTTAGCATACCCAACACGAATCTTATCCTTTAGCTCAGTCCCGATGTAAGGAAAGAGCTAAGGGTTTTTCTGGACGGTTTGAATGATAAGACTCAAAATAGGATCCTTAGCATACCCAACACGAATCTTATCCTTTAGCTCAGTCCCGATGTTCAGGTAGGTAACTAAAGTACCAAAGAAATAAGATCACCTATACAAAGCATCAGCCACCACATTAGACTTACCTTTCATCGTCTCTAGTTCGAAGTCGAACGTGTCAATGAAGGCAGACCATCGCACTAACTTCTCGGAAAGTTGTGGTCGAGTATTTATCCACTTCAAAGTCAAGTGATCGGAGTAGACTGTGAAGTGTTTGTCGAGCAAGTGGTGTTTCCAAGTGTCTTGAGCTTCGACCAAGGCATATAGTTCTCTTTCATAGGTAAAATTGACCACTTTCTCAGATGGTAGGCGTGTAGACATAATCTCGATATGTCTATCGCGCTTCCCATCATCCGGCTGTAGAACTGCCTCAATCCCATAACGACTTGGGTCAGTTGTGACAATGAAGAGAAGTGAGGGATCATCAATTTTTAAGAAAGGGTAGTGAGTCAGTGAGTACTTGAGTGTTTTAAACGCGGACTCACAATCCTTATCCCATAACCAAGGTATTTCTTTCTTTAACAATTTTATCGTAGGTGCGGCTATAATAGAGAAGTTCCTCACGAATTACCTATAATAGCTTGCGAGACCTAGGAAAGATCGCAACTCGGTAACGGTCTTGGGTCTGGGCCAATGTCTAATTGTTATGATTTTCAACTCGTCTGGTCTTAATCCTTCTTCATTTACTATATGTCTAAGATACAATACTTCAAATTTAGCATGTCCAAGATACAATACTTCATATTTAGCAAATTTTGATTTCTTGGGGTTCAATTTAAAGTTACCTTCTTTCAACTTCTATAGAACCAATCGTAGGTGTCTCTTGTGATCTTCCCATCATCCTGCTGTAGAAATGCCCCAATCCCATACCGACTTGGACCAGTCGTGACAATGAAGAAAAGTGAGGGATCATCAATTTTTAAGACAGGGTAGTGAGTCATTGTGTATTGAAGTTACTTAAATGCGGACTCACAATCCTTATCCCATAACCGAGGTGTTTCTTTCTTTAACAATTTTCTCATAGCTGCGGCTATAATTGAGAAGTTCCTCACTAATTTCCTATAATAGTTTGCGAGACCTCGGAAAGATCGCAACTCACTAAAAGTCTTGGGTCTGGGCCAATGTCTAATTGTTGTGGTTTTCTGCTCGTTTGGTCTTAATCCTTTTTCATTTACTACATGTCCAAGATACAATACTTTAGATTTAGCAAATTCTGATTTCTTTGTGTTCAATTTGAAGTGACCTTCTTTCAATTTCGATAGAACCAATCGTAGGTGTCGCTTGTGATCTTCCTGCGTCTTGTTGTAGACATACCACTAAGAATTGGTCCAACCATTCTTCAAATAGTTCATTCATAGATCATTGGAAGATTATGGGGGCGTTAGTAAGTCCAAAGGGCATAACCACAAACTTGTAATGACCATACTTGATTCTGAATATCGTCTTGTGCTGATCTTCAAGGGCCAACTCAATCTGGCGGTAGCCAAACTTCAGATCAATCTTGCCGAAGTATTTGGAACCCTGTAACCGAGGTAGAGGTGCCGCATTCTTCACAGTTACGCAATTCAGACCTCGATAGTTAATACATAGTCTGAGTTCACCTTCCTTAGGCACGAATAGTACAGGCACATCGTAGGGAGATAAACTCAACCTAATCCATCCTTTTTCGGTTAGTTTGTGCAGTTGTTTCTTGAACTCTTCCAACTCCTATGGGAAACTCAACCTAATCCATCCTTTTTCGGTTAGTTTGTGCAGTTGTTTCTTGAGCTCTTCAAACTCCTATGGGAATATGCGATAGATCGGTCCTCTGAGAATCTTACATCCAGGAATAATTTTGATCGTGTGCTTGATATTGCGTTCAATTACTCCCGTTGGTTCAGTTTCAGGTCCTTATATTCATCTAACAATTTTTCAATAGGAGGAGGATAGGACGAAGAGCACTCACCCACGTACTTAACGAGCATTCACTCACGAACTTCACGTATTGTACGAACTTATTTTCGTGGCCATGCTTCGAAAAGCAAGAAGACTCGTACAAGATAATGACAGAGATGAGTTGAACCAGACTTATGAAACAACTTGATTGACAATCTTTTCTTTGAACTTGACGTCGAGGTCGACTTCCTCATGCTAGTCCATGCCCGTAATCAAATCAAGGGGTAGATTTGGTTCTACAAGGAAGGTTACCTCATGCAATACTTTTTTTTCCTTCCGCTGTTTGAAAATAGCATTTCACACGATCAACATACTATGAGATAGTTATGGTGCTTTTGTCAGCAAGCATAGATAGGACTGGATTGGGCAACTATTGGACCTTCATCCCTAGATGCTATTTCTTAATTGCTTTCTTCGAGATGTAGGATCTAATAGACCCATAATCAAGCAAGCACCAACATTTGTCCGCACAGTCTAAACATCCGCAAGCATCAGCTCACCCTTGGACTTATCTTTCCTATCCCATGAACTTCTGAAGGCAATCAATTCGGTCCCAAGTTCATCAAGGGAGAACACAAAACTTGCTCAGGGTGAACCGAGTGAGGGGCCGAAGAAGATTCATCCTTCGTCGTAAGAGCTAGAGGGTTGAAAGGGGTTTGTGGGGCCAATTCTCCTAAACCCTCACGCTTAGTAGGAGCAGATGCTACTCCTACTGGTGGCTACTTTTTGGGTTCCTAATGAGGGGCACCATGCAATGATGTGCGTCGTAGTGCCACACTTCAGGCGCTGCACCTTGACCATGCGATCCCTCTTAACTTCTTGGGAAATACCTACCTTTTTCTAGGGCTTTCCGACAGCCATCC